CTTGGAAAGCTGACTCTTGCTAAAGACCGAGAATAGATTTGGGGGAGGAGAGGTGAGCAGAGCAGATGGGAAGAGACTAGTCTGGAAAAAAAAAATGCCACTATGCTGGGAAAGATCACAAAAGCTTGAACTAGGTGCAGGGGAGGAGAAGCCAAGCTAGGACGCAGTGTGGTTAGATCTGGGCTGAGGAAAAGGGACATGTTAAAGCCAAGCTCTCAGTTGTGGACCAGTGACTAAGTAGACGGTAGTGCCATAGCCAGGGGGGATCAGCATGGGAGGAGTGGGCAGATCGTGGCTTTGGGTTTGTTCAGCTGGATTTTGCACAAATTATTACTATTGTCATCATATGCAAAAACCATGTTTATAAAATGGTTTCATACTTGCTGTCCTACTGGGTTCTGAAAACAGTCTCATGGGATTGAGGAACATGCGCAAGAGAAGCGCTCGACTGGTGGGGAAATAAAATGCAGGTGTTAGGGACCTTCCGTGGAGTCAACAGTAGCAGAGGTCTGGTTAGAGGACAAGCCTTGGAGGACAATATCCTTTTGAACACATCAGATAGCATTCTTTAAAAATCATTATTTTTCAAGCCATGGAGGTTTCACTTCAAATGGATAAAAGTCCAGGATGTAAAATAACGGACAACTGGTCTACCCGCATTAAGGTGGCACGAGAGAATCAGAGCACCAGTGTATCCCCTCCTGTCCCCTTTCAACCAAGACCCCGTGGACACCCTGGGGCTCCCGGGAGCAGATTCCAGCCCCAGGTGCCTTACTCCTTCAACTTCCCAACTCTCAAAGGATCTCACAACAGGTGACACCACCAAGAGCATTTTATATCATTCTGGCCCTGGCTGCAAATTGGAGTGAAGCATTTTCAAGACCTTGCCATGTTCCCGAAGCTGGGTTATCTCTTTCCACCCCATCCTTAGTGGCCGTCCCCACCCAACTAACAAATGAAAGAGCCACAGCTCAGAACCAGCTAGCTAGTGCTTCAGTGGTAAACCAGGATTTGAACTTGTTTTTCTTTTTTTTAACCAGTGTTTTCTTAAACAGTAGCGGGTGCCGGCTTGCACGGGACATGGCGCAGGCTGTCGAAAGAAAGGCGCGCAATGGACGCAGAGGCAGAAGTTGTGCCAGCTGCGGCTCCTCCTTCCCTGTTGCTGTCTCCCCACGGTGTTGGCGCTAAGACCCTGGGAGACAGAGTGGCTTGCTTTCACCTTAATTAGCACAGCAATTTGCTAAATTTTGTTTTTCCCTTTTTAAGAGTGTTAATCAATTTTAGCTCAGAATAGATTGGAATGGCACGCAAATTAGCACGACAATCCCCAAATGCTAAATTCTGAACGTCTCGATCAACCTCAGAGCCTGAAGTACGTGAAAATCAGAAACTCTGGCCCGCATCTCAGTGATCTATTTAAAACGTTATGGCTCTAAAATGAAAAGATAATGGCCTTATGAGGTTTGGAACAAGCAATTTGTCAGAATCAGCCTCACGCCTAGGAGTTTAGTCCTTCCCAAGGTGATGGGAGACAGAGCAGCAACATATTTCTGCAAAGTTACATACTCCTCTAATACCAATTCGTTAAATCCACAAGCATGATGAGGTATTTGCTATGCACCAGAAACACATAAAAGAATGATAAATGTTTCCTCTCTCCCCACCCTACTACAAAGGGTCCAGGTGCTAGACAAGTGAATAGAGAATTTCTTCCTTTTTCCTGGAGAAGGCAGGGAAGTTTCTAAGAGGAGGGAGAATGCAGCTGAGAGTTCTGAAGGATGAGCAGGAGTTGTGACAAGACAGTGGGGAAGGGCATATCAGATGGGAGGAACAGCATAAGCTAAGCCTCAAGTATAGAGGAGAGGACAAAGAGAATGAGAGGCTCTCTACCACTTAAAGTAATATGGGAAATTTGCAGGAATGATAAGTGATGAGACTACAAGTAGAATCAAGAGCCAGAATATATGAGACTTCTTAACCAGACTGTGAATCTTAATCAGGATGCGAGTGAGCTGGTGCTACGAGGGAGATGACCAAATGGGTTTCATTTGGTTGAAACCCTCCAACCCAACATAACCCTTCATATTTATTCAGCATAATCTTTTTAAAGCACATTCACATATATTTCTCTCATTTGAGCCTCTTCATGTCCCCAGAAGGTTGGTATTAATTATAATTACCTTTCTACTGATGAGAAAGCAGGTCCAGCATAGGTAGGTGATTGACTTTGTGTCTTATGACCAGTAAATAACAATACACAAATCCAAACCCAAGTTCAGCATTTACCTCTCTGGGTGACAGACTGCTCTAGACAGGAGCTATCACAGACCATTTTCAGATCATATATGGGGCCAACAGCCTCCAGCTTCTACGGAAAGTCCTGGCGGCCAGAATTGCATAGATCACTGTGGATTCTGTGCTAACGGAGTGGTTAAACTAACGCTTTTAATAATAAAATCAGATCCAGGTGGCAAACAACCTCATTACACCCCGGACATTTTCAGTTAGGAGCTGAGATTTCTGTCATTACTACGGTCTACTGAACCACAAGCGAGAAAAGCTTCCAGCTAGAGGGGATCAGGGAGGCGCCTCTGCCCTGTACCTTGAGCTCGTCCGCATTGTAGAAGTCCACGCGCACGGCGGGCACCATCCAGGTCCGGAAGAGCGTGGCCAGGATTTGCTCCGCGATGGAGTCAGCGACGAGGTGGAAGTGCAGAGGGTTCCGCCTGTGGGGAGCGAATGGAAGAAGAGAGAGAGGCAGAGTTAGGGCTTGTGGCTCCAGCTGCAACACACTTCGCCAGCCCCTACGGCAGGGCTGGTCTCTAACAGAAACCGTGGAAGTCGGGCATGTTACCAAACCAGTGCCTACTGGTGAGGGTGTCGGAGCTGGAACGCAGAGAAGACATCTCGCCCGACCTCAGCAATTCGGCAAGGTGACAGCCACGCCCCAGAGAGGGGAAAATCGCCGGTGACACCCAATTCAAGCCAACTACCATGCTTGTTAACAGGATATCTGTGTTTCTAAGTCTTAAGTAAAGCACGTGTAACCATGTAGCCAACCTTTGCATCTGCCACCTGCATGTATCGGTATTGATGCAGAAAGACATCGTCAGAGGGCAAAGTCCTTTATCACAGACCGGCTGTAGGCAGCTGGCAAGACACCTCTTCCACGGCACACCAGTAAGTTCTGTTTTCTGCTTGTTCTTCTCCGAAACAAAACCAGCCTTTAAAGAGGGAGTCTTCTGGAGCTCCCATCACCGAGTATCAGCTTGTCCCCACTTTCAGTACATCTGCAGCTTTTACTCATTCAACCACAGTCAACCAGCCCTTACTGAGGCAGCACCCAAAATACACGAGAGCATGACACAGGGCAAAGCTCCTGGAATCAAATGGAAACGGGTTCAAAACCCACTTCTGATACTGATATGTGGGACGCCAAACTACCCCTTACACTCTGCACTGGTGTTTCTTAATTTGTAAAACGTGTAGAATGACCTTCTCCAAAGGCCATTGTGTTGATTAAGTAAGATAATAAGTGCAACATTCGACATATCAAAAATAAACATAGGAGGAGAATAAATGGCAGATATGCCTCATTGAGGAACTGCCAGGCACAAGGCAACAGGCCAGTCAAGAACTCGTATCACAAATACTACTGTGCTACCAAAAATAACATGAATTGCAGTACCACGAACGAGCACCTACTAGAAATAAAGCATTGTTGGAAATCCCAAAATGAGAACAGCCTGGCCCGCCTGACCTCAAGGAGCTCACAGTGTTCAGAGAGACAGACAAACCACAGTTAAACACAAACGGGAGAAGACTGTGATAACCACAAAAGAACACAATTCTGTGGGAGCAAAGAAAAAGCAGGGCTAACTCTGACGGGGTCAGGACGATGTGTAAGAGAAGAGGGAAGCAGCGCCCTAAACGATAAGCATGACTTGGACAGGAGAAGGAGGAAGAGAGGATGGGGACGTAATCTGCGATCCAGGAGAGCAGCAGGGACCAGGGTACCAGGAGTGTGGCAGGGACCTACGTCCCTAGGGAGCGAGGTGCTTAGCAGGACTCCAGGGCTGCAGCAGAGGAGGGAGATGGTGTGCACAGCAGGCAGTGCGGTGAACGTCTATTAAACAGCATGGACTTGAGCCAGGCGTGGGGTGCACAGGACCTGCCTCTCGGCCCTCAGCCTCCCATGCAGCGGCTCCCTAGCCTTGTCCTGTGTTCCAGACACACTGACTGTCCCTCAGTCTCCCACGGCCCCTGTGCTCTCTTTCTCCAGCCCCGGCCTGTGCATATTTGGTGTATCTGCAGGAAACCCTCTCATAGTTGCCCATTCAATAAATCCTTACTGCGCACATCTGTCTGCCAGGTGATGAGCTGGATGCTGGGGACACAGTGGGGAATGAGACCCAGCCACACCATCCCTGCTCTCTCGGAGCCCAGTCTTGCCACCCTTCTTTCACCCTCCCCGTTTAGCCTTTGGGTATCTCTCAGCCTGCTTTAGGGCTGACGTCAGTTGCTCCTAGAATCCTTTCCCTACTGACAGTTACCTCAGCACTACCCATTTATCCATCCTTCTGTAGTGACTGCCTGTCGACATGTCTGCATCCCCACTTGACTGAGCTCAGTGAGGCCAAGGCTCATGTCAGGTGTGTTCAAACACAGCCCCATGGTCCACAGCTCAGGGCCTGGGATGCAGAGGAATTTACTAAATGAATTTGATGGAGAGATGGGTTGCTGGATTGTGGACAGGTAAGGGGCACAGATGTGGATGTGTCATGCAGGAGATTAGACTAGGTGGACATGAAATACGGATCTGATTAAGACGGTGTCCAAAGGAAGAGCAACAAAGAAGCTCAATCCAGAGGGACTGCAGGAGAACAGATCTTAGATATGGGAAAAAAGGGAGAGGGAGAAGCAGAGCGTGACACTGAGGTTCCTGGGTTGGTGGCAATGTCTTCAGGACAGGGCACATGTCAAGAAAGGCACATTGGAGGACGATGATGAGTTTGGGATCGGGCACATCAAGTTTAAGGTTGGGGTTGCAAAGCCAGCGATGCTGCTGGATGAATGAGCCTGGCAAATACTGGGCACCCAGTAAAGACCCCCACAACAGAAAAAGAAAGCCAACACCCCTCGCCCTTCTACGTCACCGTGATCACCACCATAAGAAGGTAAGACAGCTGATGGTGTGTTCTACATCAACTGTTCAGAGTCCGGGCTCTGTTCTAGAATGTCTAAGTTGGAACCCTGGCTGCAGTACTGACTGAGTCACCTTAAGTAAGTCCCATTATCTCCCTAGGCCTCAATCTCCTCAGCTTCAAAACAGGAACAATGTGGAAAGTAATATTGCCTGGGGCAATTGTGAGGATAAAGTGAGATGATACACATAAAGTGCTTAGGAAAGCATTAGGACATTAAATGTGAAATGTTCGATTTCGAATCAAAAGCGTAGATTATATCTCAAACAAGAAGCAGTACAATTAATCCAAGTAAGCGCCTAAACTATCGGCACAGTTTTGCCATCCTAAGGGTAGCTTGTTTATGCCAACAGCAAAGAAGCCTAGAGAGTGAATGGTGAAGAAATCACAAAAGGTGTGTGCAAGAAGTCGTCCCAAGCCTGGAAGAAGTGGTAGTCAGTTGGTGCAAGGTCTGGTGAATACAGTGGATGACAGAGAGTTTCCAAGTCCAGCCTCTGTAGTTTGAGCAGTGTTGTTTGTGTGACGTAGTCGAGCACTGTCTTGCAAGAGGATTGGCCTGTCTCTACTGACCAATCTCTGCTGCTTAACTGCAAGCATTGCCATCGTTTCATCCGACTGGTTGCAGCAGACACCTGCTGTAATTGACTGACCAGATTTCATGAAGCTATAGTGGAGAATACCAGCGCTGGATCACTAGACAGCCACCCTCAGCTTTTTTTGATGATTATTCAGTTTTGGACTATGTTTCCACACTTCATCTTTATCCAACCATTGTGCCAAATGCTTGTGATTGTCAAAAAGAATCCATTTTTCATCACACGTAACAATACGGTATAGAAATGGTTCACCTTTATGTCATGACAGCAAAGAAAGGCAAGCTTCCAGATGATTTCTGATGCTCGTTTAATTCATGCGGAACCCATCTATCCAGCTTCCTTACCTTGCTGGTTTGTTTCAAATGGTCCAACATTGTTGGAATAGTAACGTCAAACCTTGCTACTAATTCACGCATAGGTTGAGATGGATTCATTTCCACTACAGCTTTCAGCTCATCGTTATCCACCTTGGTCTCAGGTAGCCCACGTGATACGTGGTCTGTTTCCATGAATGTTAACTACTACCAATATTAACTTAAGAGACTACAATTTTCGCATCAACTTTTCAATAAAATATTTCTAATTAGTACCTCCATCGACAGGAAAAAAAATGGTTTGAATGAATAAATGTCCAACAGGGAGTTCTTAAGCAGTAACTACACGTAAGGCCCAACAGAGACACAGGCGATGAATGAGCTAAGGGTGCTTTCTTCAGGCAGCTTACAGTCTGGCGGAGGTTAAAAAAAAAAACAAACCCCCCCCCACACACACACACATTAGAACATGGGTGTGCCACTATGCTGGGCTGCCACACACAGCTGCAGAGCTTGGGAACAGCCCACCTCCCAGGGAGCCATCTGCACAGACTTAGACACAAACATGCAGGACGCTTTTAGAGTTGCCTGGTGCAAAACCTGCACAACCATACAGGATGACTCTGCAAGGGGCAGCACAAAAGCTACAGGGGTGTGAGGGCAAAGGGGACTGCTTCTTGGTAGTGGAGAATCTAGCAAGTTTCCATGATTCATTCTCTAAGAGAAAGAGCCAGACAAGGTTTGGAGGCTCAGCAGGCAGCAGATCGAAGTTATAACTCCAAGAAGTTATAACCTTGTTGCAGAGCAGTAGTTAGAGCAGCGTGGGGTAAGAGGAGCAGGCTCTTAGAGGAAAACGCTGCAAACATTCAGATGGCGCTTCCTTCTCCAAGGCTCCTCTTCCTCGGGGCTATTTAAAGAATCTCTCCAGAAGGGAGAGGAAATGCACAAAGAAACTTAACCCCATCTTTAGGGCAATACCGGGTGTCTGCACTGTCAAACAGGTTGGTACACCTCACGAGCTTACTTCGGACGTACCGCGCCCCAGCCCAGGTGACCACTGAGGCCCGGCATTTGCGGACACTGTCTCAGCAATCAAAGGCAGGGAAACCAGCAGCAGCAGCTGGTGTCTCACTCCTGTCAGGTACATGCTCAGAGGGGTTCCACTAATGTCCCACTTTGGGTACCATCGTGAGAATCTGGGACCATCACAAGAACGTAGCTCCTGTCGGAGGCCTTCTCCTTTTAGATCCACCACGCCACAGTGCAAGCACCTGGAAACACCGCCCAGATGCCTTCTCTCAGATCCTCTGTGTAAGCCGGAATGTTTCCCCTGAGCTTTAACTTGTAAATCCGGCTGCCAACCAGACGGGCCCACTTTCATATCCCACAGGTCCCTGGGAATCAAGGAGGCCCAATTACAATGCTCCTGACACACACGTTTCTAATTATTTCTGGAGTATTTGTTTTAATACCTGTCTCTCCTCTACAATGTAAGCTCCGTAGGGACAGAGACTGGGTCTGCCATTCACTGCTGTGTCCCAGCCCCCAAAGCACAGCTCGACACAGTAAGCAGAGGCTCGAATTTACCCTAAATGACTGCATCGAGGAAAGC